GTAAGAGACGGAGCAGTAGATAATGATACTGATATCTGCAAATTACAAACAGTAACACTGGATTGAATCCATGAACCTTTACCTGAATCTTTTATGAAACTGGCACATTCCACCACAAACAATAAAATGCACTATATAGAGAGGTAGGTACTGACCAGCTAGTACAGGAAAATCATAAATAGTATCAACACAGGGACTGACTACATAAAAACCTTCACCCTTATTGTTGTGAAGTAATGGATGAAGCATATCAAAAGCTTTACAAATAAAACTCAAATCTGTGTGACTGTGATACTGTTTGAGGAAAGGTAAAACTGATCTATTTTCTTTGTTAATCAACCCTATGAATTTGTGTGGCAGTCACTCATCTACAGCTGCTAATCAACTTAAATGTTTAGTAAACTCTCAGGAATAACAGTGATACTTAGAGATCCTCCCTACAAATATATCACTATCAGCCTCCAAAAGCCATTGATTGAGTATTTGCATTACCTCCTGTTTCCCCAGCTTTCTACTCTATTTCCTGTCTTATCCTCCTTTTACCCACCTCCTCCTCCTCTTCCCAGGGGTGCAGCAGTGATTAATGTGCTTGTGGAACTCTGAGCTCTTCATCAGCGGAGAGACTTGCCAGGCTAATGGCTCATCTGGAGAGAAACACTGAGATAGTCTCCTGCAGCCCCCCAGGAATCCAAAGACCCCTCTTTTTACGAGCGTGTGTGTAAATGTGTTTAACACTTTGAGGCAGAGGAAAGTAAAACAAAGGTGAAAATGATAACTCAAAGATAATCTTTCATAGTTTATTTGTATTTTCCAGGTAAATGTCCACTGTGGGCTTCAGACATGCTGCCTTACACCACACTAACGTATGGCAGCTGAACCAGACACAAAGTCACCAGTGGTAAGCGCCCGCTCATCATTAATGTTAACACCAGTAAGACATACTGTGTATTTCTTCTTTTTACTCACAACACTGCTTAAACAGTCTGTAACAAATCATTATTCATCTAATCTAATAGGTTGTTAAATGGTTTATTTAGCAGGAGATGTCGAAGAAACCAGCAAAGTACTTAATCCTTCAGTTCATCTGAAAAATTCAAATTTGCCAAGCAACAAGTGTATGTTTTTAAGACAGAAGGATTCCTAATTTTCTAAAATAAAAATGTTCATCCTGGTGCTTCTATGCCTTAATTTCACTCATCTTCACACTCAAAGAGCTTGACATCATATGTTGTTATTTATACTTCAAATACAGCATATGACACATCAAATTTGTATGATTATCTAATTTTCTCTGATATTGTGTTAGCCAAGGACATTTCAGTTTATAAAAACTATCATTTCTAACCTGTGATGATGACTCTTCATTACTTTGGCACGTTTTTCCAATATCCGCAGAGCTAATTGAGGTTCGAGGTGGATAGGTCTAATGACATTACTAAAGCCATCCATTAATAAAGCAAAATATTTAAAGATCACCTATTTTTATCTTTCGGTGACAGATTGTGGTAATTATTTTGGACATCTGTTGGGATGTGGCGTTTATTAAACCTGATTTTGACTCTCCTTGTACTCATTTAGACTGGCTGGGGGGCATCATTTTAGTTTCAGATAATGGGTCTGCCCTCACCTTTTACAAACATTCAGTCAAGATTCATTTATAGATCATATGGTGGCATGAGGCTCGACATTGTGAGAGGAGATGCACAAGAAATGTTGTTTATTCATGTCATTACTTCATTGGCAAATGCATCCTCTATATCTGACAGTAGGATTATTAGATAATATTCATCAATTTGTTAAATCAGCCAAAACATACAACTGCCCAGGCAAAGTAAAGTAAGCTTTGATGCTTTTGACCACATCTCATGACCTCCTTCAGCCAGCTGAGTTTCTCAGTTGGCATGAAGATGATTTAGGTGTTAGTGTGTGATCTGAGGGTGAAATCATCTGTCTTGTTATGACAAAGGTTCCCAAACAAACCATTTCCATGAGAAATGGGCAACTCCATCTGTTGAAGAAGGCTAACAGATGTATTTGAAAGTTCCAAAACAACAAATTCATTTCAAAGATTTATTTATTTTATATTGAATACTGTTTCCAAAATCAAGAATCAATCATTGAGACTATGAACTAAATGGTGAACAGGCTATGACGCTACCACCAGCACCACCATGTGTTACTTGGTGAGTTTTGGAGGTAGAAGGAACTTTTTTCCCCATTAACTTTGGACAGAGGCTGGCTGTCCAGACAAAACAGGACCTAGTGGTATCATTCTTCGCAGATAACTCTTGGCAAAAAAGAAATAAAAAGAAGCATATATGTGTATTTCCTAATTAGGAAGGGGGGAAGGGGAAACGTAAGAGAAAACCACTTCCATCAGAATTCACTCCCAAGTTTTGGGATTTAATGCTAACCAGAGACAATGTGCCAATCGGTACCTTTAAGGACAGACACGCCCACTTTACCGTGCACCAACAGGTGTGCTCTCTTCTCAAACATTACGGCGCGTAATCCATCGCCACAGAAAGAGGCTTCGGGAGTTATAACTGTGGTTAATGGTTTTAAGTTTGCAGCTCCTGGTAATGAAAAGCCCATCATTTCGCTTCCTCCTTCTGTAGAACCGGACCCGGACCCGGACCCGGACCAGTCTTCACCTTCATCCATTAACGCACAGCCGTTTTCCGGAGCCGACTAGAGGACACAGACACCGGCTTGTGGAGGTAACTCCGGTTGTTCTGAGAATTTATGCATGCAGCTTGTCTGTCCAGCGTAAGAAGCCTCACTTTTTGGTTTTGTTGTCCAACATTCCGTTGATAGTTAGTGTGACTAATATCTGTGTCTGTTGCCGGGGTCCTGAACAGGAGTTTGGTCGTAAAGCACACAAAACATTTTGAAAACTAGACTGACATATGGTCACTTTTATACCAACATTTTATGGGGTGCCTGTTCTTAAGTATACTGGTTGATATTTATTGTGGTCTGTAGACCCAAGGCCGGGTAAAATATTTCATGGGTCCTTTCTACGGGTATCTGGGGCAAACGGAAGCGTTAATCTGGAACCGGCCGCAGGTGAGAGGGGACAAGGAAACGACCAAAAGAAAAACAAAGAGCTGCCTGACACCATGACAAGTTGCAGGCTGGTTCCTCGTGAACACTTGCATCCAGATACACACTTTCTGTGTAATGTCTGCTCCGTTTGCAGGCTAGATTAAAGGAGTAATCTGACGAAAATATTCATTTCCTTGGTCATACTTGAGAAAGGGCCTGTGATCTTACTGCTGTGATTGTAGTCAGTATATTTTATGTAACAACACTTTGGCCATATGTTTAAATAGTGTAGGTTCAGATATTTCTGACACAGTCTACTACAACCGCAGTCATGTACTTTGTGTTAAAGCATAGAGCTGGTTCATTTATCACTGTCAACAGAACCAAGAGTGACACTGGTTGTTGTGACTTTGGAGACTGTTCGTCTCAGTCTGCAGCCACACACACAATATCTCGAGGCTCTGGCAAAGGCATCTCCTCTTGTTCTGCCAGCACAGTTGTGCGCTCTTGGCTCTGCAGACGCGCAGTGCGCGACAGGCTCTCTGCTCTCCTTTGACTCGCACAGCTCACACTCGTACAGCCGTCCTTCCCATGGCGCTAGAGCACCAGATCAAGTCTGCTCAGCTTCTGGCTTTGCCGGAACTTTGACGTGTTATAAAAAGAGAGTTGCGTTCGCATTGCACGAGTAGAGAGACAGCAAAACATTGGTTTTGCGCTTTAAACCGTAAAAGCTCAGAGCATTATAAGATCACACGTGTAAAAGTAAAAAACTGTACTTGCGGGTGTTGAATGTATGAACAAACTGACACGTTCTGCAGACATGCACTGTTTTCTTTTATTTATTTGTCGTGGTTTGGGGTCTTTTACTTTCAGTGTTTACTGTCATTGGTAATTTTTGTGCATGAATGTTCTCATGATTGCACTGAAATGTGTGTTCCCGGTGGAAAACAGCTGTGGAATAAATGGCATTTCACCTTCAGTGTCTCCATCGCGCATGGAAACGCATTCGTAGCGTGCGCTATCGATTCTCCTTTGGTATCTGCGCTCATGATCACATTTTGTTGTACGGGTATAAATACAAACACACAGGGCCTTTACATTTCACGTTCTGGGGTTGAACTGGAAATGCCTCTGTTCTCCAGTGGCAGATTATAGGCCCAGAGGAGCTGCCACGTGGGTCGGCAGCTCTGCAGGTCTATGTTTAGAGTTCTGGTGGGTGTTAATAGAGAAGGAGGGAAAAGAAAGATGCTTAAGACTCGACCTGGGGCGACAATAGTGGGTCGGTTATAAATGGGTCACACGATAGACCTGTCTTTTTTTTATTATTATTCACAACCTCTTCAAATGCATTGTGCTAGAATGGGTTACATTGACAGATGATGCATGAGCTGACACTGCCAAAACTTATCAGAACCGTCGCCTACATGTGGGAACTGGATCCTGAGGTCGCAATGAGTCCGCGACCACGGCGCCACACAGTGTGGGAGTGTGCATTGGTGGTTCTGGCATCCTGAAACGACTGCGTATGAAAAATGTCTTAGCTCACATGTGTTTTTATTGTTGCATCATTGCATAACACCACGTACCCTGTGGACACTTGTAGGTCCAATAGGATCTCTTATCTCTCGGACTGTGACATTGTTTTCGAAAAGGAATAATAAATTAGTGTTTTAGCTACTACACAAGTGGATTTGGCTCTGTTATTATTTCTCATTGCTATCACCTGCACTAGGCTGTCATCAATTCTTCTGTCTCCCTTTTAGACCTGTTGAAATATGCAACATGTTCCTTATTTGTCATTATGTCAGCTGATGAGAGGAAATACAATCCTTCAATTGACAACTTGCCCCTTTTATGCTCCGCCCTTCTTCCCATGTCGGCTGGCATGTAAGGTGACACCAGCCAATCACATCTCTTTCCGCTTCTACTTAGCACAGATAAGCAGCACAAGGAGGCGGAAACTCATGCGGGCTGTATATAAGCAGTTAAACGTGGGGTTTTTGTATCAATGTGTCACCTTCCAATGGTTCACTGTCTGACCGGGCGTCTGCGTGAGCGCACACAGAGCGTGCAGAGATCGGAGATCGGTGCTGGTGGTGTGCTGTAGACTTGACCGACAGTAAGCGAGATGAATCCACAGGCCCTGCAGCTGCCAGGCTGGGAAGAAACCCATGCTGCCTCCACAGACTGCCACGACGCTGTCCGTTGTTCGCTGTGCTGCTGACCCGCATGCCAAGACCCGTCACCCGGTGACGTAGAGCTGAGCCTCATCCAACAAACAAACAAACAAACAAACAAACAAAAAGACTTGGCCTATTAGAAATAAAGCTGCACAAAGACTTGCAAAGATTTTGTGAATGGATCTGAAGCAAAGGAACAACACTGAAGAAACAGAACACACGGAGCTGAAGTGATGGCTGGACTCTCCCCAACCCGCGGCGTCACTGGGCTGCTGTGAGCAGAGCAGCGCGCTGCCGTTTCGCATCGTAACGGAACCCAGAGGAGCCTCCGTAGATGAGGAGACTGACCGAAGCTTTCGATCAGTGAGGTACGCTCGGCGTGTCTTACATAAGGAAATCAGGGAGAGAAATTTTGATTGCTCTACATGCAGCTGCGAAAATGGGCTGTATCAGCTCCAAAGCGCCAGTTGGTAAGAGTGTTTTTAATTAGCTTTCAAAAAGCACGCTGGAGGAAGCCTCCTCTTTTCGCATTTGTTTTGCTGCAGCGTTTCGCGGATGCACAGGCTGTGAGTGAATGTCGGTGCTTGTAGTTGACAGCATGCTGTGCCAGAGATGAGATGTATGATAGCGCTGCCAAGTCACATGCATATGAATAAAGAACGTAGCTACATATATGTAGATGACTCATTTAAACCATGTCAGTTTATTAGAGGTTAAATGGTGTGCATGTGTGCAGAGGTGCTTTTTACTGAGGTGGCGGGGAAGCGCTAAGGGGCTGGTATCTAGTCTAAACATCGCGATGCTACGAGAGTTGCAAGGAGCTTTTTGGTGAACACGCTAGTCAGAGGCAGAGACGACGGGGGTGCTCTTGACACAACCGAAGGATACGTTTCTAAACGGCTTTTATATCCAGTGAGGAGAAGACTCGTCCGGGCACGATGGTTCTGACCGCGCTGACCCAGTTTAGCTGCAAGGTAGGACACCTTTTATTTGCTCGTATTCATACGCATGCGACCGTGCAAACTCTCGAGGTACATAACTCGTTATTTCTGAGAATTTCTGGCTCGTCTCTTCTTGCTAATTAAAGTAAAAATCCGTAGATTAGTTCCCATTCACAGATGTCCATATTTAAAAGGACTCCACAGTTTCCAGGCGCACACATGCAGCGGTGGATCATTTGCTTGTTGCCAAGAAACAGCTCCCTGTTGCTACTCCATCTATTTGCTCTCACGGTTGTTTACACCTTTGCTGTACGTGCCTCTCATCCGCTCTGCTGGCGGCTAAATCACGCCGAGAACCCCGTCCTCTTTGTGCTACCCCGATCTCTGACGCGTGTTGCCCCCCCGTAACCTCCTTATTATTTATTTGACTGCCTCTCCTCTGTAGCCTCCATACATCAAACCTGCCCCCCATCCATCCATATCTCTCACACAAACAGACGTGATCGTTGTTTTGTTGTTTTATTCCAGGTGATGTACCCTGTGATTTATCCGTCACTTACAGCTTGCAGATCCTCTCTCGCCTGTAATTGGTTATGTAATCCATCGCTTCAATCACATTGATTATGGCGCCTTGTCCCTGTCTCCTTGTTGCGGTAAGGACATGCCCTAGTCCCATAAAGCTACAAGGCGTGCACGTTTATTAAGTTTAGTCGGTCAATAACAGCCACCTGTTTGACTCTTGCATCATTCTCAGTATGTGTGACATCACACCGCAGCTGGTCCTGACCTATTTGTGTTGTTTCGCTCATTAGTTAATCAGGGAGCCCGAAAGACGTGAAAGAGAGAGGGAGAGATTCACAGCCGAGGTGTCTATCTGCAGTTTCCACGACAACGGGAACTACTGTGTGTGTGTGTGTGTGTGTGTGTGTGTGTGAGCATGACCTAAGTAAAATAAATAAATAAAAATTAAATTACTGCAATTCTCCTTTTCTTTAACTGGAGAGAAGACGCGTTTGGAGAGATCGGCCAGGGGAAGGAGATCACGATAAAAAGACATCTAACAAATTAACCACTGATGTGGAGGATGACCGCAGACCCCTGACAAGGCAGCAACAGCTTCCATTCTGAGGCTGCTGCTCCCTTCTGATTAAACCCATTACGTGTCTCTCTTCACTCACAGTGCAGCTCAGCCCCACCGACTTATTCATTTACATGTGTTTAATTCCATTTTATTTTGGTCTGCTGCCCACAGTCCTGTCATTTAAAGTGCACCAGGGTTAATTGCTGCAGAACCATTGGCTACAGTGACGTAACTGGACCTGTGCACTGCTTGGGTGCAATTAATTTCTGTTGACGTGTACGCAAAATAGGCTACTCTTTGTCGGAATACGTGGTGATAAACACACCTCTGTGGACAGGAGGAGGCTGTGGCGACCCATGCGAAATATGAGCACTTTCTGACTATTGCTTGATGACGTGTCACCATGAAATCATTCGGGCTTTTGCCAAACAGCGGACTGCAAGACCTACATGACACCGGGTTCAAATGACTGTACATCAGTCCAGTGTTATACCCACGAAACACGTGCGCATCTCTCGCTCGTCTAAACAATACTTGCATTGAGTAAGGTGGCCTCTATTGAACGACACAATACACCCCGGGCATGTGATCGCATCACACTCAATTAAACGGCACATATTGAATTCTGCTGGTGGGCAACCTGAGCTGTGCGCGCTAAACGGCAGGTCTGTGACCCGGTGCTAGAGTGACTGGTCTTGATATTGGACTCAGTATTTGAGATGGGTGCTAGAGACTAATCGAGCGAATTGTTCTTTCACAGACAGTAACTAGAAACGCGTCCCTGCAGTGGAGGGCTGGAAAGAGGAGCCAGGCTGCTGACATTTAGAGGCCCACCCCTTTAATCTCGTTTTCCAAATCCGATTTGAAGAGTGGCGAGCACACGCAGGATTGCGTGTGTGGGGCGGAGGAGCCTCAGAATGGGTCGAGTGGGAGCTGTCCAGGTGCTGATCTCTACACAGGGCGCCGTTACGCGTGAGGCCTCCGTCCGCATCTGTGCTCAATCATGGTCCACAAGGCTGTCAAGTCACCATGTGGGCAGCTGTTAGAAAGGTTAAGCTTTGGCAGTCAACTATATAAGCCGTTAAAGTGACGTTTGCAGCCAGGAGGATGCTCAGTGACATTTGCGCTGCGTGCAGCGCCGCTGGACCTGCGCCGTGTCAGTGTGTGCTGTGCTGAAGACGCGGCCTGTCACCACGTAAGAGAAGTGTGTGTATTAAACAACAGGGAGGTAAAAAATGTAAATGTCACCACAGGCATGTACCTTTATTCTGTGCTTTTCATACTGCTGGGTTTCCTCCGACAAAGCAGATACAACTTCATCAAATATCCAACGGGCTCGGGATGCAGCCCGAGCCTTATCTGCATGGCACGGCATGGCTTTAAAGTGCATGGAAGTAGGCCCCCACGTCTGCCCCCTGCCCCAGTTATCTCACTACAAGTAGTGTCTCTAGAGAGTAGGCTACACTGTAATAAAGGGTTCTGTGAATGCTCCACACTCACTCCGTGCATAATAAAAAGGAGGGTGATCCACACTAAACACTATGGTACAAGCCTGGACCCTTTTTAGTAGCACCTGAAATGAATAGTCTATCTCCATCCATACGATGCTGTTAATGTATATAACCTTTTTAAACGGCATCAGAATGTGGGTTGATACTTGATTTTAATTTCTCTGTGCTTCGCAGTTGCATTCAAACCCCATTATTCTCATGTGCAGCCTGCTTTAACAAGAAACTGGAAAATGTGCTGCCTATTATTAAATAGTAGGTTATGTAAGTGTTTGTGGTTTTCCTTGTACTAAACTGCAGTGAGATACGGGAACATTACATTTTACATTACATGACATTTTATGGACATCGCTTCTCAGTGGCTGCTCCAGGGCCCCGCGGAGGCATGAGTTGGCATGGTGGTTGTACCTTTGACCAAAAGGATTCTCTTAATCCTTAAAACTCATAGTTGGTAATTTGTGCTTAAGTTACTAAAAATATATAGGTCTAAATATTATGGAAAAAAATAACGCTCCATTGTCACATTCAAGTGGAGGTGTTATTGTCCAATGTATCCCGTTTAGGCTGCTTATTTTGGAGCGAGAACATGTTGCGGGGTTACTATGAGTTTTACGGTTGATTTGTTACCTTCACGTGACTCTCTTCCTCCTGACAGTGGTGGTCGATGGTTCGTTGCGTGTGGACTGGAGCGCGTCTAGCTCCATGTCTGACATAGGGCTTTTGGGGAGCACGCGGACCTGCTTGGTGCGCAGACTGATTCTGGCTCCACCTTTGGGCGCACTGGACTTCAGCGAGGTGCCCTTAATTTTTTTTTTTTACTTCCAAAATCCCAGTCTGGTCTGGTTTTGTGATAACGCCCCACTGATGCCCAGTGCATTGTCTCCTCTTCCAGAGACCTATCCGCAGTCCATTTTTATTATTCAAACACAAGCCAGTTGATATTTCTAACTGTCCTCTAATGGACTCAAATGAAGCAAATTAGACATTACAGTTTCTGGAAGCCTGCAGACCCAATTTAAATGGACTTTACTTGAACTATAGAGTCTGGATAAACTTTTAGTAGCTTACATAACTTCACCCAGTTGCTTGACGTGAAGAGTGGGTGATTCTGGCACAACTTCACCTACTTTCAAGGTACATTAAGGGAAATTATCCCAGAGGGCCAAAGCTCCAGAAATGCAGGTTGTACAAGCTAAAGAACAACTTGATTGTTACTAGAGAGAAGTAATGTTGTTCCTAGAAGTGTGATCCTTTAAGGACAGTATAGAACAACCTGCATTCATCTGTAGACTGTCCTCTGTGGGGATGTGATGAAGCATTTGACATGGGGCACTTGAGCCAGTGCCGATGATGCAGGCAGATTAAGAATAAACAAGTCTGTCCGATGCATCTAAACCCAGTGTTTACATGGTACTAACAAGTTAAGAGTTGGGCTGCTGTACTTGGATGTTGGATAGGAGTCGAGTGCAACCTTTTTCCTTTCAGACAGCAGATCAGAGAGGGAACCCTGCTTACATAGAGAAACACTGGACAGCTGCTTATGGGGAGAAGGTTCAAAACAAACATACTAACATCAAAGAAGGTACTGGAGCCAGGCTGGTATCCTTGCAGCACAACAACACTTCTTGTTAGCGGATCCACAACTCTGTGTTAGAGAGGAAAGATGTGGTAAGGATGAAGCAGGACGGTACACGGTAACGAGCCATAGTAATAAAAAAAAGCATGAATCCCCTTACATCGAGATCATACTTTATATTGTACAGACCCCAAACCAGCAGGTCTACAGGAGGAAAAGTCTATGCAAAGCAGGCAAGACCTCATTCCCTGAGGCAAAGAGT